CGAAAATCTTTCACTGCGCCGAAATTTTTCTGCCCTAGAACCCCCTCTCTCTCTCTCTCAAGAATCGACAGAAATCCATGAAAACACACGAGGTTGGGCAAACTTAGCATACATTTCTAGGGGAGCAGAAGCGGGCTTTCTTTCAAACTATTGAGGTTTATAACATGCATACATTTCTACATTTCTAGGGGAGCAGAAGCGGGCTTTCTTTCAAACTATTGAGGTTTACAAACAAGCTTATATATAATCTTAAATAAAATTTTGAAATACAACATTAAATTTTCAAATTTCGCAGGTACCATACCGCCAGGGAAACCTTATATATAATCTTAAATAAAATCTTGAGTACACTATGTAATTTCTAAATTATATATGTACCGTACCACTGGACGTTTCCCCCGCACCACTAACCCAAGTAACAAAACTCTCCCAATTGGACCGATTTTTTCGCTCCGCTCCGCTTCGTTCCAGTATCTGTCCATTATATGGTATATGAGTCATACATAACATTTATCGACCTGAAGGATTTTTTTTTTTGTATAGTTTTCCAGCAAATTTTCGTTTGCCTTTTCTGTTAGTTATATAAATACGACAGACTTGACCGTCTTTTCTCAATAGGCAGAAATGGACGGGAGCAACCTGTCACAATTTAATCGCCCACCAAAGATCATAGGTACGCAACCGAAAATTCTCACGTCGATAAATAGTAATATTTACTATTCAGACGACATAAGGCCTTCAGAAATTATTTCGATCAAGAAAATTGTTGCATAGTTATGTCTGTCAAAAATAGGGGTGTAAACGAGCTGAACACCAGCGAGCACTCAAAAATATAAGAGACTGACGAAATTTACCAATTATTCGATGACAAAATTTGCTGGAATTTGCACTTTCTTGTGGTGCAGAAAAAATATTACATCAGGACTTCGCACGCTGAGCTACGTGTGGAGTCAAATGAAATTACGTCGTGGAGGTGATCGGCCTTGCAACATAAGGGAATATTCCCCTGGTGTTATTCAGGTGTGATTGTGTATTATTGTGTTATCATGTGTGATTGTGTATTATTCATGTGTTATTATGTGTTATTCAGTGTTATTATGTGTTATTCAAGTATTATCGATGTGTTATTGTGTTATTATAACACCAGAAATATTTTCGGAACATAATAACACATGAATAACATACAATAACACCTGAATAACACACAATAACACTTGAATAACACAAGAAGAATATTCTCTTTTGTTACCGGGCCGATCACATTCACGCCGTAATTTCATTAGACTCTGCACGTAGCTCTACGTGCGGAGTCCTGATGTAATATTTTTTCTTATGGTAGAGGACTATTGCATCCATAAATGATTAGATAAATCCAACTCTAAGATTATTTAAAACGTAATTATATATCTCCAAAGTGCATTCAAATCTCAAGTTGTAAGCAATAGCTTGATGAATGACTCTTCAATGCCCATTCTTTTGTTACTTCACAAAATCATAACTAACAATGAATTCACCAAATAATGATGCATTCATGGTTACTAACCCAAAACTAGATACTGCAAGGAAAGCAAAATTATACTTTTATCTAACTCCACAAAACATTAATCTCTATTATAGCATCAATAAAAAAAACAACCAAATAAAGGCTAAAATGCTAAAAATGCAAAAACTTATTACCATAAAGAACACATCTTATGTTATTTGATACGTTTATGTTGATTGGCACCAGCTCTTGCCCAATGATTCTTCAAATCAACACCCCATAAAAGGTCGTGACCTTCAGCTGCAAGTCTCTCAAGAATCTTTTTATAAGCTGCTTTCGTGATCGACCTCCCCATAATTCGCTTTTTTGGCCTCGAAGAAGTAAATGGCAGAGGATACTCCGACAAGCTCGCCGTGCAACATGTTGACCGCCAACCGCCGGCAAACTTATGGCATTCACGACGAACACCGGTGCAGGAACATACAGGTATCGGGACACGGGAGAAATCCGTTGAACCGCCATGAACGATGCTCTCCTCTCTGTTTTTCTCCCTGTTTTCTGTAGATGTTGAAGCTTCGTTGTTGTTTCTGCTTGCAGAGGCTTGATTCTCTGATTCGTTGGGCGTTGGAACGTTAGTTGCAGCTTCTTTCTCCTTATTCATGGATAATGAGATTATATGATGATGATAACTACTGAGAAAGCATTAGGAAATATGATCCAAATGCAAAGAGGA